AGTATGCCGAGGAGTCTTGATGTCAGGGAGTGGGGGGGGGGGTGTTGTTGGAAAATATGGGCTCACAAAATTAAGTTTTAGCGAAAAAGGCCGCATGGGAAAAAGCTATGCCTTAAAAGTCATTGCCAAACGGGTTTCTTTTGAATCAATATGTCATTGTAAAAAAAAAATGAAAAAAAAAAAATCACTTAGTGAATCGAGGGCGAAATCTTGTTGTAGACCCACGCGATGATGCAAGTTTGAGTGACCCTATCTTGAGGGTGGATTAAATGGATGTCAACCGGTGGATTAGATGGATTTCGTGAGCGTGCTTTGTGAGCTTTGAGTCGGTCCGTTTTGTTTAAGTTTGAAAATACCATCTGTGACATATCACCAATACACGATGCGGAGCTCTCCCACACTTGTAACAAACTACAACTCAGGTCAAGACGACTACTCAAGTAAAAAAAAGTCTTGGTCAAGTAAGCGTGAGAAGAACAACACCAAATAACATATCCGATGTCATATGTCACATGTAACATATCAGTTGTAGCATTTCACCTGCAATGTATCATATGTAGCATAGCATCTGTTGCGTATGACATATCAGTTAAAACATATCAGCTGTAAAATTTCATCTGTAACATTTCATTCGTTATATGTATAATCAGTAGACGTCGTCAGTAACATATCACTGATAAATATCACCTGTTACTTACCGCAGTAACGTATCATCTCATAAGGATCAGATGCATTAAACCATTCTGTGGCCGCACGCTACTAAACCCAGTTAAACTTTTGTCAAGTCGTGAAAGGGTACAAAGACAATTCATAATACACAATTTTGGCTAATGTCTTCCGAATTTGGGAGTTAAAAAAAGAAAGAAAGAATTAACCTAATCCCCAAATAGAATTAACCTAATCCCCAAATAGAATTAACCTAATCCCCAAATAGAATTAACCTAATCCCCAAAGATGGTTGCCATGGCGGGATGAGAGTCTAGTCAAACCCAGCGGTTAGTCCGTCCCTGGCGTTGACCCCGTGACCCCGAATCAGTTATCTTTTGATCAGGAGCCAGATTCGCTATGCTTCCGACGCCATTGGAAATTTGCATGCGGATTAAGATTACTGATGTCCATCAGGAGAATAACCCAACATATGATTAACTTTCGAAAAAACAATCGCATCTAGAATGTTGAAGGAGTTCGTTATGAAATCAGATTTGAAAGCGGGTAATCTGATGAGATTTACACCAGTTGGGGGTTCAGGCATTGAGACGGAAAGCCATGGATCGCTCCGAATGGAAGGATGTGGTGGAGCAGGCCAGGGCCCTACATGGGCTGAAGTGCCATTGATGATGATGATGATGATCTGATGAGATCCAGTTATCAGCAAAAAGAAATGAAGCTAAGCACACAATTAGTTTAAAATAGACAAGTATCCCTGAAAAATAGAACTACTTTTATTACTTGGTACGGTTGCCTACAAAGTACACTGGTCCAGTGATCAATAGCCTTGATTAGGGTTTAGTGGGTAAACGGGGGTATAGTTATCTCCTGAGTTCATCTCAGTAATTCTCACGTTGCGCGCTGTTCCTATAGCCTCAATTCAAAGTTTCCAGATGTGATATATAAATGTTTCTATCATTCCATTTTTAAGACGTTTGCTTAAAGAATCAGACAACAATAATTTTAACATTTTATTTTTTGGTTTCTTTCACAAAATCTACAAGTATCTAGAACAACGACAGTACTAAATGCAAGTACCCCTCACGAGGGGGAACTCAACAGCTTCCACCAAAGATGTCTACGTCGCATTTTGCGAATTCGACGGCATGAGAACGTGCCTGACTAAGAGGTTTTGGGCTGCGCAAAATATGCAGCATTGATCTTTGCTCTTAGCATGAGGCCCCTCCGCTGGTTGGGCCAAGTAAGGAGAATGGAAGATGGCCTTAATCCAAAGGATTCAAATGAAAGTTGGCTGCAAAAAAAAGGGGGTTGGGGGTGAGACTTATTTGAGAGCTGCGGCTTCGATTTAAGGACGTTTGGAAAAGGAACACGAGGTATGCCCCAAAAAAAGAAAAAATAAATAAAAAAAATATTACGGCTATTGGGTGATCATCACAGATCCCATTTCCATTTGGTGAACAGCGATTTGTTGAGTGAGTCAAACAAGCAGAAGAAACATTTAAAAAGCTCTTGCTATGAAACGAGCAATGTCAGACGCCAAGGTTCGCCTACGAGAATTGCAGCCGAGTCTGCCGTTCCCGTATCGAACCATTAAGCCATTTTGATGAAGTTCTAATAAGCTACGTCATGGTCTCACGAAGACGAAAGTCTGACATAACATTCATACCGGTGCGAAGTTCCGCACAACGTGAATGAGCACGGTGTGAAATTATTCTCCGCACAACTGCACTGTTGTGAAACGGCAATTGTTGATACGACTTCATATTAAGTTTGCTTTTGAATTTACTTTCATAATTTCACTACAAATATGAACAGCGTAGTTAAATCGACGGTCGAACTTATTTTCTTTTAAAAATGATTAAATTCCACCTTCGAGAATGGTGTGCGTAACAAATTTTATGTTAGTAACATTTCGCGTGTCAGAAGTATACGTCTCTGATTGGGCGTCCACACAAAAGGAAGTAAATAATCATGATATCAATATTAAAAATAATACCTTTTGAAAATGATATCCTCATTTTGATTGGGTTTCTTTTTAAATGTATACGATCATCATCATCATCAGATCACCATCATCATCTTCTTCTTCTTGTTCTTCATCATCATCATCATCATCATCACATCATCATCATCATCTTCTTTTTCTTCTACATCATCATCATCATCACATCATCATCATCTTCTTCTTCTTCATCATCATCATCACATCATCATCTTCATCTTCTTCTTCTTCTTCTTCTTCATCATCATCATCATCACATCATCATCTTCTTCTTCTTCATCATCATCATCACATCATCATCATCATCATCACATCATCATAAATATCTTCTTCTTCTTCATCATCATCACATCATCATCATCATCATAATCATCATCATCATCATCATCATCATCATCATCATCACATCATCATCATTATCATCATCATCTTCTTCTTCTTCTTCTTCATCATCATCATCTTCTTCTTCATCATAATCATCATCATCATCATCTTCTTATTCATCATCATCATCATCATCATCTTCTTCTTCATCATCATCATCATCATCATCATCATCATCATCATCATCATCATCATCATCATCATCATCATCATCATCATCATCATCATCATCATCATCATCATCATCATCATCATCATCATCATCATCATCATCATCATCATCATCATCATCATCATCATCATCATCATCATCATCATCATCATCATCATCATCATCATCATCGTCAACTTCTTCTTCATCATCAAAATCTTCTTCTTCATCATAATCATCATCATCATCATCTTCTTCTTCATCATCATCATCATATTCTTCTTCTTCATCATCATCATCATCATCTTCTTCTTCTTCATCATCATTATCATCTTCATCATCATCATCACATCATCATCATCTTCTTCTTCTTCTTCATCATCATCATCATCACATCATCATCTTCTTCTTCTTCATCATCATCATCACATCATTATCATCATTACATCATCATCATCATCATCATCTTCTTCTTCATCATCATCATCATCCTCATCATCTTCTTCTTCTTCTTCTTCATCATCATCATCATCTTCTTCGTCTTCTTCTTCTTCATCATCATCATCATCTTCTTCTTCATCATAATCATCATCATCATCATCATCATCTTCTTCTTCATCATAATCATCATCATCATCATCAACTTCTTCTTCTTCATAATCATCATCATCATCATCTTCTTCTTCATCATCATCATCATCATCATCATCATCATCATCATCATCTTCTTCTTCATCATCATCATCATCATCATCATCTTCTTCTTCTTTTTCTTCTTCATCATCATCATCATCATCTTCTTCTTCATCATAATCATCATCATCATCTTCTTCTTCATCATAATCATCATCATCAACTTCTTCTTCTTCATAATCATCATCATCATCATCTTCTTCTTCATCATCATCATCATCATATCGAGTAAGAACAAAAAACACTATTTCCAAACAAAGAAGACGATATTTTTTTAATTACATTTTTAATATTTCATTTTTGTCTACTTGAAGATAACGGTAAGAACAGGAACGCTAACTCAAAGTATATTTCTCAGTTTGCACAAGGCTTCGGCACGTTGTCAAGCCCATTGTACATGTATGGCAGAAGGGGGAAGCTGAAAAATGTATAGTACAATCATTCATTGAAATTGTATGGTACAATCGTTCATTAAAAATATATGATACAATTGTTCATTGAAAATGTATGGTACAATCGTTCATTAAAAGTATATGGTACAATCGTTCATTAAAATGTATGGTACAATCGTTCATTGAAAATATAGGATACAATCGCTCATTAAAATGTATGGTACAATCGTTCATTAAAATGTATGATGTAATCTTTCATTATAATGTATGGTACAATCGTTCATTAAAATGTTATTTACAATCGTTCAGTAAAAATGTATGGTAAAATCTTTCCTTAAACATGTATGGTACAATCTTTCATTAAAAATATACGTTGTGTCAATCAAAAAGCATGTCCAATAGTTAAAAAAAAAAGTTCGTTTAAATGTGACAACTCTGTGTTGAAATATGGGGGCTGATGATTACATACTTGATTTCTATTATATATTTCACAGAACATTCTACACTAAGGCAGGTTACAATTAATTTAATCCATCATTTTTTTTTAGTTCAACAACTTTCCCCTTGTGGGTGTCCAAGGTTCTGTTGAGACTTAATGAAACGATCTAATTTTAAAAAATAATAAATGGAAATAAAATAAAATTAATAACGGAGGTTAACACGATATTACCTTTGAAGTTTCTTGAGGTTGTATGGCACCCCACTAGAATTTTCTGGATACAGATTCAAAAACGACGCGAAACTCAAAGATTTGCACGTCAGTGTGACTGTGTAGCTGACTTGAGTCTGAAATAAAGAGAATGTTAATTTGGTAAGCATTAAAGTTGTTCTGAAATAACTGCATGGCATCGAGAACCGTGTGGTATTCACGTCTCTTTGTCTGTTTAAAAAAATAAATAAATGAAGGCCTTCGTTCATGGTATGCGGAAGCTTGAAGCGACAGACAGGACAATCAGAGAAGCACGAAGAAAAGAGCATCTTCAGCGGTGGGACAAATGAAAATACGACATGAAATAGAAATTAGTTAAAAAAATTAAGTGTTCGCCATTGTTACTGACGGAGTTTTTAATTTTTTTGGGGCCACTTTTACAGGTTTTTTTTTAACTCTCCTAAGTGGCAGCCTAATTAATTGAATTTCTTTTTTTTTTTTTAAATGACTTCCTGCAAGTCCAACAGTAACGTCTTCAAAGGGAAACTGTGTATTTTGGTTGGAGTAGGATGTCCCCTTAAAAAACTGTTGTTTTTTTCAGAATCTGCGTTCCGCTCTTTCTTACGACTTCCACGAATTGAAGCAGCTGATCTTTCTAAGACTTCTTCGTAGTTTACAAGTTTGTTGTTGCAAACTATAGTTGTATTGACGGCGCTGACGTACAGGTGAAAAGTTATGTAGGAATTGTTTAAGTTCTTCACTGACAGAACCGGGCGCTGAAGTCCTTCTGCAGAACGGGGCGCTGAAGTCCTTCGGCAGAACGGGGCGCTGAAGTCCTTCGTCAGAAGGGGGCGCTGAAGTCCTTCGTCAGAACGGGGCGCTGAAGTCCTTCTGCAGAACGGGGCGCTGAAGTCCTTCGGCAGAACGGGGCGCTGAAGTCCTTCGGCAGAACGGGGCGCTGAAGTCCTTCGGCAGAACGGGGCGCTGAAGTCCTTCGGCAGAACGGGGCGCTGAAGTCCTTCGGCAGAACGGGGCGCTGAAGTCCTTCGGCAGAACGGGGCGCTGAAGTCCTTCGGCAGAACGGGGCGCTGAAGTCCTTCGGCAGAACGGGGCGCTGAAGTCCTTCGGCAGAACGGGGCGCTGAAGTCCTTCGGCAGAACGGGGCGCTGAAGTCCTTCGGCAGAACGGGGCGCTGAAGTCCTTCGGCAGAACGGGGCGCTGAAGTCCTTCGGCAGAACGGGGCGCTGAAGTCCTTCGGCAGAACGGGGCGCTGAAGTCCTTCGGCAGAACGGGGCGCTGAAGTCCTTCGGCAGAACGGGGCGCTGAAGTCCTTCGGCAGAACGGGGCGCTGAAGTCCTTCGGCAGAACGGGGCGCTGAAGTCCTTCGGCAGAACGGGGCGCTGAAGTCCTTCGGCAGAACGGGGCGCTGAAGTCCTTCGGCAGAACGGGGCGCTGAAGTCCTTCGGCAGAACGGGGCGCTGAAGTCCTTCGGCAGAACGGGGCGCTGAAGTCCTTCGGCAGAACGGGGCGCTGAAGTCCTTCGGCAGAACGGGGCGCTGAAGTCCTTCGGCAGAACGGGGCGCTGAAGTCCTTCGGCAGAACGGGGCGCTGAAGTCCTTCGGCAGAACGGGGCGCTGAAGTCCTTCGGCAGAACGGGGCGCTGAAGTCCTTCGGCAGAACGGGGCGCTGAAGTCCTTCGGCAGAACGGGGCGCTGAAGTCCTTCGGCAGAACGGGGCGCTGAAGTCCTTCGGCAGAACGGGGCGCTGAAGTCCTTCGGCAGAACGGGGCGCTGAAGTCCTTCGGCAGAACGGGGCGCTGAAGTCCTTCGGCAGAACGGGGCGCTGAAGTCCTTCGGCAGAACGGGGCGCTGAAGTCCTTCGGCAGAACGGGGCGCTGAAGTCCTTCTGCAGAACGGGGCGCTGAATTCCTTCGGCAGAACGGGGCGCTGAAGTCCTTCGGCAGAACGGGCCACTGAAGGGAACGCTAAAATCCTTTAACAGGACGGAACACTGAAAACCTTTGACATAACAGAACACTAGTCATTTGACAGAACGGAGCGCCTGAGTCTTTCAACAAGTCTCGAAACTGTCCAAATCAGAGAAAGTGATACTAAAAAATTAGGTAGGATGACTTGACATTCTGCCAACACGCAAGAAAACATTAATATCTTATTGATAACTTTATCATTTCTGTATTTATCATTATTATTATATCAAAACAAGACTTGATTTATCCTTTATAACACACTGTCATTAGCGCATATGGTCGTGAATATGAATGTCTCTATTGTCAACATATCTCAGTTATAATTTAAAGACGACAAAGGGGAACAGAAAATCTCTTGACACCTTAGGAAATTAAAAAAAAAAAATACCTTTCCCGCGGTCATGCAGCTAGGCCAGTTGGCCATGTAGATAGCATCTTCAATTTCTTCGTAGTGGACCATACACTCGGGTCGAGTGGTCAAATCTGCAAAGTTGATCTGAGATAGACTCGCCAGGTCAAGCCCCTCAGATCTGCAAGAATGTGTGAGTTCTGCGTTGATTTTATACACAGGCATTACGTTAACCGATAACTTTGAAATGTTATCTTGATAAAAAAAAACAATAACAAAAATAAAAGAACTTTCTTGAGTTTGATGTAGTGGTATCAACTAGATGAAACATATATTAAATTGCTAACACAGTTATCAGCGAGCTGACAAAGCATTCAACTTGATGACACAGCAATCAACTGGCTGACACAATTATCAACTTGCTGACACAGCTATCAAATTGCTGACACAGCTATCAACTTGCTCTCATTTCAATTTTTTAACATGAATGTGCATGGAGTGTTTCTGTAACTTGCTGATACTGTTATTTCAGTAACTTGCCGATACTGTTATTTCAGTAACTTGCTGATACTGTTATTTCAGTAACTTGCTGATACTGTTATTTCAGTAACTTGCTGATACTGTTATTTCAGTAACTTGCCGATACTGTTATTTCAGTAACTTGCTGATACTGTTATTTCAGTAACTTCCCGATACTGTTATTTCAGTAACTTGCCGATACTGTTATTTCAGTAACTTGCCGATACTGTTATTTCAGTAACTTGCCGATACTGTTATTTCAGTAACTTGCTGATACTGTTATTTCAGAAACTTGCTGATACTGTTATTTCAGTAACTTGCCGATACTGTTATTTCAGTCCCTTACTGATACTGTTATTTCAGTAACTTGCCGATACTGTTATTTCAGTAACTTGCTGATACTGTTATTTCAGAAACTTGCTGATACTGTTATTTCAGTAACTTGCCGATACTGTTATTTCAGTCCCTTACTGATACTGTTATTTCAGTAAACGAAATTTGCATAATTCTCAAGACAATGAAGAAAAACTTAATGGATCGCTAGGTTAACTATAATGGTTTAGGAATCGACATATTACTTGGCTTACCTATACTCGGGATGTCATCACGCCTTAATTTAATACAAAAGATGAGGTGAGGTTCTTTTGTTGATCCAAATCAATGAAAAGTTTTTTTTCTTTTTTAAAGTACAATGTTCATATTCATTTCAGCAAATGGTTACATACATATTAAGCCAACATCTTACAATGATAACAATTTAAACACAAGACGTCTTCTAGCGTTTCGTTCTCCGGCGTTGAAATCAGCCATCGATGAACTCCGTCAGAGGTCACACTTTTGTCTCCGTCATGTGATTTACATTAAGAGGAGCATGATCATATATATATTTTAAAAAAAAAACAATAAAAATAAAACAACGCCTAATATGAAAATGCTTCAATTGTGGAACTTAACCAAACCTGCAGACCTCTAAATGACTCACGTGACAACAACGGAGTTGCTGATGTCGTAGGGTTGAAGGTGAAAGAGTTTCGGCGCTGCCTCCATCACAGCCAAGATCTCTGCTCTGATGACAACGTTGTCAGCTTTCTCTTCCAGGTAAATGCTAAGTGCCTGAAAGTGACATTTCAACATTTCAAATACGTGTATGTGGGGGAGAAATGTACGGAAATTTAAAAAGAAAATTTCTCAGGTTCTTCAATCAGGTATTGTTATGGAAACAAATATAACTATTTAAATCTGTAATATCAGATGTAAAAAGCGTCCATGGAAAAGACGAGTATAGCTTAGTGAGTGTAGGAGTTTAAAAAAAATATTTTGTTTTGTAATTGCTAAATGTCAGTGGGAGATTAAAATAATGAGTCAAAGTGGCACAATGTTATTATACTTAGTCTACATTTTGCATTGTTAAGATAATTAATTAGTCTAAGTGGCACAATGTTAAGATACTGAGCCTAAGTTGTGTACAGTGTTAAGATATTAAGTCAGAAATGTGCATTGTTAAGATAGACAAAGTGTTGACAGAAATTTGACATCAGAGAACATCCGACTTGGAAAGCAACTTACTGGATACAGAGAAGGCACATCCACTGGATAAAATAAAGCTTCGATAAGGCTGTGATGCATCCTACCGTCAGTAGCCTGGCTGTAGAGCTGTTCATCTCTGTTGCTGTACGAGCCACTCAAAACTGTGATAAACTTCGCGATGGCAGGACCTACTGGAAGATGATCTTCTAAATCAGGGGTCTCCAAACTTTTCAGCCCGAGGGCCGAATTAACTATCAAACAGCAGTTCGGGGGCCGACTACACACCCGAGGTTAAAATAAAAAAGAATCAAAACATGGATGTTGTTTTTAATTATTTATTGAATATTATTTTTTCAGTTATTATTTAATAACACATTGATACATTAGACATGAACACCTGAATTAGTGGGAATGGTGATATTGCTTCCTAGATGCAAAAATAGCAGTCATTTTTAGCTTTAAATTTGATGTCCCTAGCATCAACAGTGACCTGAGATCATCATCGGACAAGTTTGTTCTCAAATTGTTATTCTTTTAATGAATTCTTGAAAATGTTTGTTCACACAGGTATGATGTTTCAAAGATTGAAAGGTACCTTGATGAAAAAGTTTTGACATTAAGGAAGTATTCCTTGGGCGAAAACTAGTTAAAAACCCACTGGCCCTTCTTTTAACTTGTATCCAAGGAGGTCATTTGGTTGCAAGTCAATGACCTCCAGCTGCAGTTCATCTGTTCAACTGGCCACATCTGCTTCAAATGGGTTTTGAAACATTCTCCCCTCTTCTGCCTTTAAATCCAAGTCAGAAAACCACTCCTGACACTGCAGCTGGAGGTCTTTGATGATCTCACATACAAATGACGTGTGGGACTCTGCTGTTGCTTCAGCCATGAAGACCGTCCACTGCTGAAAATGTGTCAAGTTGTTGGAATGTACTTGTTCCGAAAACAAGATTAGTTTTGATCTAAAGGCCTTTCGGTGGGTTTATAGATCAGAAACTAGATTTTCCTCTCCTTGTAGTTTTAGGTTTAAAAAATGTAAATTACTAGTTATGTCTGCAGCAAAGGCCAATTTTCATACCCACTCTTCATCATACAGTAATGGCTGTGGCTTGCCTTTACTTTCCAGGAAGTCACCTATTTCGTTTCTTTACTTAAATACTCTGCTCATGTTTTTCTCACATCTTAGCCATCTTACAGCTGTGTAATATGGTCAATCTTGCGATTCCGTGTCTGTATCTTTCAGCAGGTCTTCGAACTGTCTATGGTTGAGCCCATGTGACCTTATTTAATTCACCCTGAACACGACAGGATTGAGTACACTGCTTAAGTCCCCCTTGGTTTTACAATGTTTTTGTCATTACAATCTGCTTCACTTGTCCAAACAAGCCTTTCATTATCCCACTCCTCCATCAAAAGTCAGGCAAGTGAGGTTAGTCAAGACCAATTTATAATCCGCAAATGTTTTTTTCAACTCATTGAATATATCCTCTCCGGTAACAGTGTCGTACATGCTATGTAGGGAAGCCAGGTCTTGTGTCATATTCATGTCTTCATCCACACCTCTAATGAACACAAGTAGTTGAGAGGTGGAACAGCTGTCCAGCGATTCATCCATTGCAATTGAAAAATGGCAATAACTTGCTTGCATTTTTCGCTCTATGAGTCACAATGTTTTCACCCATGTTTGAAACACAGCGGGCAGTGGTATTTCCACCCAAAGCTAAATTTTCAAATTGTTTTGACTGTTCTGGGCAAAGTTCTTCAGCCACCACCAACAAACATTTCTTCATTACTTCACCATCTGTTAATGGTTTGCCACATTTAACCAGGAGGTAGGCAACTATATAACTACCCTTAGTCGAGGATTAATTTTCATTTGAGGATTTACTGAACAATGTCCTCTGAGATGTTAATTTATTTTGTAATTTAGAAAAATTTTTCGGCACGGACTTTACTCTCCAACTGTGCATATTTCTCCTTATGTTTGCTTTGATGATGACAAGGCAGGTTGTATTCTTTCATCACAGCCACGGTTTCGTTGCAAATCACACACAATGCTTTCTCGCGGGATTTGGTGAAGAAGTATTTCAAACTTCATTCTTCTTGAAATTGCCGACACTCATCGTCTATTTTTCTTTTTCTCTTCCCGGCCATTGTCAAGCACTAAAATAAATGAATTCATTATGAATAAATAGTCAAACTGTAAGTATCTTGCACACAATATCGTTTTTAAAAAACCTGATTATTTTAATTAATTTCGTCGCAATTATAGCTGCAAATGACCCGAAACAATTTTCAACAATTATTATGATTTCTTAAGTTAAACTTACCTGAATAAAGTGTGTAAATATCTCCAATAATGGTAGAGAGATTGTTGCTTTGAATGTTTCCTCGTCAGAATATTCGAACAATTCTTACTAAACTAACGACCTTCCCAATACTTTAAACACACTGATAAGTAACTACGCGAAGGAAATTATCACTAAATAAAATAGAGTGCAACATGTTTCGCAATCAGACGCTGACACCAACACCTCATCATCGCAGGGGTCAACCGCAACTTGCAAACTTTGATCAAAAGAATCAAGTCTTGAACAAGCAGCAAACCATTTAAAAACTCCGCCACTAGAAGGCGTCATATGATCTCTTTGACTGTGAACAGAAGTTGAAAGAACTATAATAGGCAGCGCATAAGGTTGTGCAATGTGGTGATCGGTTTGAAAACATAACGCACTACTGCGTCTCTATTTTAACTCGGTAAAAACATAACGTCCACATAAGCGGTGGCTGATCTTGCCAGGATACACGTAGACATGCGTATTTTCCCCCCGTAGACATAAAGGCCTCCACGGGCCAGATGTTAGAAAATCTCAATGAAATCAAAGTAGCTCTATGCTATAACATCTCCTTGACCTGTCACTGATAAACATAGGAGCCAGAATGATCACTTCATTGATCGTGGGCCCTCAAAATAAAGAAGAAGAACTGACATCGCTGACATCACTGTTACGTTATTGCTGCAATTTCCGCCACATGTCCAATGTTTGCATTTGAATTAGTCAACTTATTATTTTTTTTTATCTCACCCCCATGTTACAGTATGGTCTAATTAAGAAGGCTTTTAGAAGACTTTAATAAAGGTCTAGAGATTTACTTGAAGATTATTTTTAACATACATATAAAAATAAAATATTTCAACACTTAATTTAAAATAGTAATGATAATAAAAAAAACAAACTATTTTTTTACCCGACGTTGCTTCTTGCTGTGCACCAACTTTGCACGCGGAAAGAACCAAGACGATGAACAAGCAGCTCAGTTGTGACATGGTGAAGTATGTTTGTTGAACAAACAACAACAACAAAAAAAAACCAACAACTAAAAGCCCCGCAAGGTAAGTTTTATGAACAAAATTCGCCCACACCTAACAGTGGTTGGAGAGAAATATCCTTTTATATGCAAACCAAAAAAAACTACACCCACACAAAAAAATGAGTTTATAAGATACGCAGTGTACCTGCCCGCACCATCAGGAACATTGAAATTTTCAATGGCACTGACTTATTCATATCTGCCCCTACTCTTATAGAACACTCCTTGCATGGGAGTAAGCCTATAATTTAACTTTGTAGTGTTAGTGACGAATATAAGCTGTCAACACTAAACAGGCATGCCCCGCGACTCGATAAAGGAGAGGGGTGGGCACGGGGGGGGAAGCTAGCTACTCCACCCCATAAAATAACATCTTTAACATTTACTATATCAAGGAAATGGCATCACTTGAATGAAGCAGGCCATGTTACTTCAACTGAGAACGATGGCCAGGTTACTTCAACTGAGAACGATGGCCAGGTTACTTCAACTAAGAACGTGGACCATGTTACTTCAACTGAGAACGATGGCCATGTTACTTCAACTGAGAACGATGGCCAGGTTACTTGAACTGAGAACGATGGCCAGGTTACTTCAACTGAGAACGATGGCCATGTTACTTCAACTGAGAACGATGACCAGGTTACTTCAACTGAGAACGATGGCCAGGTTACTTCAGCTAAGAACGTTGGCCATGTTACTTCAACTGAGAACGATGGCCAGGTTACTTCAACTGAGAGCAGATCCATTGGTGTAAAAACATGCATCCTTTATTTTTAAAAGAAATATCTATCTGCAAATGTTCACATTTGTAACTATTTGGTTTTGAGAAATGTATATGTACTTTAAGTAATGTATACATAATTTTACCACGCCCTTGAGCTAACAAAATGTCATATTTTTGAAAATATTGCGAAAATTATATTTTAAAAATAACAAAAAAACAAAAACCACACAATTTTTCTTGCATGTAACATGAACGGATTTTGAGATATTGATATCTTCATAAAACAAACCAAAACTTTTCCCCCCTGCCCTAAACAGTGCGTAAGAAAAATCTTTGAAATAAAATTCTTACATACAAAGAAGAATGAGTATACCAATTTTCAAACCTGTAACAGTTTTGGGGTTTTGAGATATCGTTACTCAAACAACAATGTAACAATCCTTTGAACTCCAACCCCAAGTCCAATTTCGGGACCAAATGGTAAAAACAAATATTTCTATATTTGAAAGAAATTCTTAACCTTGTGTTTCCCTAGCCAATCGCATTGGATTTTTTAGACATTGGTAGCGTATCTATGTGCCCACAATATGACAACGCCTTTGAAACGTATTTTCGGGCACTGGTAAAACCTATTTTTAATTAATCTTAAAGAAAATCTACCCCCCTCCCCCCCCCATCACGCCTGTAACATCATCGCTATAAGATGTTTGATCCACATCAAAATCTACCCCCCCTCACGCCTGTAACATCATCGTTATAAGATGTTTACCCACCCCCCCCCACCACGCCTGTAACATCATCGCTATAAGATGTTTTATCCACATCAAAATGTACCGCACCTACGCCCACGCCCTTGAAGATAGTTTTTTTGGAAATGGTTATTTTTCATACTTCCTTTTTTTAAAAAAAAAAAAGTTTCTATACACACATTTTTCCGGCTGTAACATCTTTATGCTTAGAGGTATTGCCACGATACTAAACAATAATATGCATGTGATCCATTCTTTCAGTGGCGTATCTTTACTAGATGCTGCATGGGACAAAGTCCCACAATTGAGCCGCCCCCTCGCGCGCATCTATTATATATATT